CCCATTCCTAAAAAATTGCAATTTTCCAAGTTGAGGACCCTGAGTGCTAATGCGGTCCAGTACGATACAAGTACCTCCAGTGCAAGAGACTGGTCATATCTCTTGATGACTGTTTACGTTCCCATCTTTGTGTTCCACTGATCTGCCTGTACGTGTGTGGAAGAATGAATGTGACATGGGAGAGAATGAAACACTATTTAAGGGACAATAACTAGTGATAAAATCTTGATAGCCATTTGCATCTAAGGTTGTCTATTTGGACAAACTGAAAATAAACTCAGTAATAGGTGATATATATCTTGAAGGAGCTTCTGGTTTCACAAAACTCATTGAATTTTACTTCTTACTTGAAGCATCAACTTTTTCACCACCAGTTCCCTCTTGTCATCACAAATTCACAAAATAATCCCATTTATAGTCTGCACTTGCCTTCAGGAGATTGGAACTGAAAATTGACTCAAATTCTGACTGTTGGCTACCTAAATTAGGGTTCATTTCCAGAAATATTAAGAAAATATTAGAAAAAAGTGTAGACAAATTTGGGTGAGAAAGGTGGTGAATAGATTAATGCTGAACTATGTATGCTATAAATGCATATAACTCAATAATTACTCATTCTCTGTGTTTGTTCATTGATTTTGATAAAAAACTCTGTATGGAAACAAATGTATAGGCTGTGGCACTGTGACGTCATTAGCCAACCAGATTGAACCAGATTGAACCAGATTGGACCAGATTGAACCAGATTGTGGATTTCTTAAACAAAATGTCACTCACTGATAAGCACTAGCCTGCAACTGCTGTGACATTGTTGCCCAATAGATCAAATACAGCAGCAGATATCGCAATTTTTTTATCTTTAACAACTGGTACTTGTCAACCAAATGTAAACAAATGCGATAGTCTATACATGTAGTACATGACACTAATTTGTAAAATGTGGCGTAGGGTTTAATCCCCCCTCCAAAAAACAAACATTTTGGTTACCTTGTTTGTCTCTATCATAAATGAAGGTTAAGGTAGAGGAGGGAAAAATGTCTGTCTTAGTTGTTGTTGACTTTTTTTGTAGTCACATTAACTCAAACATTTGTTATCCAATTGATATTTCAAACTTGGATATATTATATTGACAAGGGAGCTTGGCCAAGCTAAATTTTGGTGTGATT